AGCTGGAATCATCAGTACCAGGACGATAATTATAACCGCCAACTTAGAAAAAGTCCGAACTATTTTCGTTGAGCATGGAAAGGGCCATCAACACAAGGGTGGTTAATTGTAATTCAAGTTGTTCTGTAGATCTGAAACTGGTGAACCTTAAAATTATAACTTAGTTAATTTTCTTTATTTGTATAAATTTTATCACAGTAGAATACAGTTAAGGGTCCAAAATGGACAAGTATATGTATAAAAATAGCATAAAAATTTGTTATTGGAATGTTGGAGGAATTTTTACACAGGGTGAGAATAAACTAAATGACAAATTATTTTTGAAGGAGGTGAAAAACTATGATATTATTATATTAAGTGAAACACATGTTGGGTATAATACCAATCTTTTTATTGATGGTTTTACATACTTCCCTGTATGTAGGGACATGTCTGCAAATGGAAGATTTTATGGGGGAATTGGCATTTTTCGTAAAAATTGTATTAAGGAACATATTAAGTTATTACCAGGTACCCAGAAAGATTTTCAGTGGATTAAGATAGAAAAAAGGTTTTTTAATTTTCAAAATGATATTTATCTTTGTGCATGTTACATTCCACCTTCAAATTCAACTTACTTTCAAAAGTTAAATTATGATGTTATTGAAATTATTGAGAAAGATGTTAATAAGTTTAAGAATAAGGGGGAAATTATGATTTGTGGGGATATGAATGCACGCACTGCTTCATCAGATGATTTTATAGAACATGATGATGTAAGGTACCTTCCTCTTTGTAAAACATATAAGATTGATGATAATTTTTGTAAACGTAGTAATCGTGATGTCATTTTAAATGAACGAGGTAAAGAATTGATTGATTTTTGTATTAGTAATCAGTTGAGAATTATTAATGGTAGATGTATGGGGGATATTTTTGGTGATTACACATGTTTTAACACACATGGTCAAAGCACAGTTGACTACCTTGTTGCAAGTGAACACTTAGTTAAACAAATTCTATATTTTAGGGTATCAAATTTTATCCCAACTCTTTCTGATTGTCACTGTAAAATATCATGGGAAGTTTTAGCAAAATTTAAGGAAATTAATTCAAATGCTACTAATGCCAGAACCTTGCATCCCGCCCCTCAAAATTTTAAATGGAATGAAGATTCCCCTATTAAATTTCAGATGGCTCTAAGTTCAGATAGGATACAAGAAAAAATCAAGTCTTTTTTAGATTCTTTTATTACAGAATCTACTTCTACTGATATCGAGAAAAAGGCAGAAGAATTCAATGACATTATCATAACTGCTGCTAACATGTCATTAAATAAGCCAGGTCATAAAAGTAAGAATATTAAAAAGCATAAAAATAAAAAGTGGTTTGATTCAGACTTGCAAACAATGTGCCATAGATTGATTGCGCATGGAAAAATTTATAGCATATTTCCAAAGGATCCAGTTGTTAAGAATCATTACTACAGACTTCTTAGAGAGTACAATAAATTAAGAAAATTTAAGCGTAAAAATTTCCAAAACTCCATTCTAAATCAACTTGATGCACTTCAAAATAAACAATCAAAACAATATTGGAAATTAATTAATGACCTAAAAGATAATAATAAAGACAATTCTGCTGCAAACATAGATTCTGAAACGTGGGTAAATCATTTTCGCAACCTTCATTCTGTTTGTGATAACTCTTTTAAATCAAGGATACAAGAGCTAGATTCAATTTTGGCTGACTTGGAGAAAAATCCATCCTTTAATGAACTGGATTTCAAGATTTCACATAAGGAAATTGTAGATGCAATAGCAAATTTAAAATATGGAAAAGCCAAGGGGCTTGATTTGATATCTAATGAAATGTTAAAACATAGTCAGTCCTATTTACTCTCCTGTATACATAAGCTCTTTAATAGTTGTTTCACATATGGTATTTATCCTCAAACTTGGAGTAACGGGTACATAAGTCCAATTTTTAAGTCTGAGGATCCAAACAACCCTGCAAATTATAGGGGTATTACAATTACCAGCACACTTGGCAAGTTATTCAACAGCATTCTGAACTCTAGATTAGATAAATTTCTTAAAGAACATAATCTAATTCACCAATCTCAAATGGGTTTTACCAAAGATGCAAGAACATCTGATCATCTATTTGTGCTAAGGTGTTTAATTGATAAATACTGTAGCTTAAAAGAAGGAAGACTATATGCTTGTTTTATTGACTTTCATAAAGCTTTTGACAGTGTTATCCACACAGGATTAAAGCTCAAATTACTTCACATGAATGTTGGATCTAAATTTTATAATATTATAAGTAATATATATAAGAATAGTCAGGCATGTGTGAAAATTGGAAGGTTCTTCTCGGATCCATTTCCAATAGCTATAGGTGTCCGTCAAGGGGATAACTTGAGCCCTTCTTTATTTAAAATATTTATAAATGATTTTCCATCATATTTAGATTCATGTATTGATGAAGTATCACTTCAGACAAAAACTGTTAACTGTTTAATGTATGCAGATGACACTGTTATTTTATCAGCATCAGCTAAAGGTATACAAGCAAGACTTTCTAAACTTGAAAAGTATTGCTCTGATTGGTGTTTAAAGGTAAACATTCAAAAAACTAAAGTCATGATCTTTAATAAAGCTGGTCGTAATTTCACGCAAAAACTAATGTTTCAAAATAATAGGATAGACTGTGTATCTAGGTACAAATATCTTGGAGTTCACCTAACTGCATCTGGAAGTTTTCATGTAGCAAGATCAGAGCTTTATAAAAAGGCGTTAAAAGCATATTATAAACTGAGAAATGATTTTATTAATTTGAATCCTGGGATTAAAACGAGTATACATGTATTTGACTCTACTATTAAACCAATTCTTTTGTATAATGCAGAGGTGTGGGGTGCAAGTAATATCAATACTAAAAGATTCCTAAAATGCCAAAAGTTAGAAGTTGAAGACTGTTTCAGAAATCTACTTTGTGAAAGAATACACCTTAAATTCTGTAAATATATTCTTGGTGTTCATAAGAAAAGTACAAATTTTGCAGTATTGTCTGAATTGGGAAGGTTCCCCCTGCACTATGATATTGTCAAATTGTTAATCAAAAGTTGGTATAGATTTGAAAATTTGTCCACAGAATTTCCTTTACTTAAAGATGCATATGAATGTAGTAAAAATCTTTATGTATATGGAAAGAACTCATGGTTCGCATTTGTACAGAAATTAAGAAATATACTGAATATCAAAGATGAATTAAGTAATTTGTTATGGGAAGCATAAATTTAAGTCACTCTGTCATACAACCATATTAGATTATTATATAAAAAATTGGTATACAAGTCAACAAAGTTATACTGATGGTAAATTAAGCACATATGTAAAACTCAAACAAAATTGGGGTTATGAGAATTATTTATCAGTAGTTAAAAATTTTCATCACAGAAAATCTCTATGTAAATTAAGAATTTCTTGTCACAGATTGCAAATTGAAGTGGGAAGATTTACCAACATCCCTCGTGAAGATCGATTATGCAATAGATGTAACTCTAACAGTGTAGATGATGAAACTCATTTTCTCATAACATGTAAAAAATATGATCATCAAAGAAAAGAAATTTTTCAATCAATTAAAAGTAAATTTTCCAATTTAATTCTCGGCATTAGATGATGAACAAAAACTTTTTTGGTTACTCAATACTGAAGACAAAGAAACTCTTAATTCTGTGGGCAAATTCATAAATGATAACATGTTGTAGTAGTCACACAGTTTTATATATAGTATTCCCTTTAACTGAAATAGTACAATATTATTGTTGAAATGAGTAATGTCATTTACAAGCTGTTATACTATCCATTGGCATATCTTTTCTTTATTATTGTAATAATTTCATACTTGTCTGTTATGGGCTCTAAATTAGAAAATAAATGTTCTGTTCTGTTCTGTTCTGTACTATTTTAATTCAATCTATTATTATGCAAATGTATTTTTCTCCTCTCTAAATATTTGTTTACTCATATCAAAGTTTTTGTTGAAGACCTTTAAGGAAGGAGGAATGTGGCATTCAGGCAAGTTTGATCCCGTGGCAAGATAGCTCTGTTGGTATAGCACCAGCTAGACTAGTGATTCAGGGGACCTGGGTTTGAATCCTGGTCTGGTCCCAAGCATTTTTCTCCTTGCCTGATACAAAACTGTTGAACTTCCGTATTTTGAACACTGATATCTCCAATACCATGGATATGTCAAAATGATTGTAAGTCCCAACCACTTATTCTATAAGTATTTTACCCTTGATATCTTGAATCCTTGGATATCTCTCAGTTTTTTCTTAGCGACTTATCGAGTTCTAGATAACGAGGTTTGACTGTACATGTATTGATAAAGGAACAATTTTATTCTACAATTATGTATATGTATTTCGTGTTATAACAAACCTTATCAAGAATGTCACTGGTATTGCAAAATTAGTTGCAAGCGCTTGTAGATATGGAGCAGTACGAGATCCATTGGCTGCATATACGAGAAATATAGTTGACACCGCATCAGCAAGTCCAACAAAAAACAAGTCTCTTTTGCCAGAGTTCACGTTTGTTTGAAACATTTTTAGCACTTTTCCGATTAGTAAGACTGACATTAATATCACTGTTGCTAGTACCAAATTTATAATGCTTACAATGAATATGACAGCGTAATTGTCGATCACAGGTGACGTTGAATTTCCACTTTTGTTGACTTGCATCTTGGAACTGTCGCTCATTGAATCCAACCATAATGGCGTAAAAATGGTTGATGTTGAAAGTCCAGTAACAATCCCAAATGCCAAGAGGACAGATCTGAGCATAATCCAATACAATTTCGTTTTATGTTCTGTCTGCCATCTTCAAGTCATGTGACTGAAGGTTTGTCATGTGATCAACTTTCGTTTTGCAAAAAACATTGTCAAGTGCGCTTTAATGCACTGACAGCTTTTGTCGTCCTTGGTTTGACGTATTACCATTATACCATGTTATTATTTAATTTTTAGGCATCGGAATACATGGATTTAAGCATGTAACAGTCATCAATACATATGGTCAAAGAGTCACATATGGTCAAAGAGTCACGTGACTGAAGTTCAAGTCGCTGTCAAGTTTGCAGGGGATGGCTTGCACAAAGAATTACAGATTTCTTTTAGGCAAATATTTTGTACGCCCTTACAGTGCAAAAGATTCCACGAGGACATCGGCATGCATTTACTGGATGCAGCAACGACAGCTGACAACGAAATTCCCCGAGTTTCAGAATGACCAAAACCTGCAAGGCCATGACCAAATTTATAAATTCAGCTTGGAGAATCCCGATAGGTTTTGGAGCACACTAGCAAAATCTCGGTTACAGTGGGCTAAGGATTTTGATACTGTTAAGGATTGTGATATTAGAAAGGGGCATATACGATGGTTTTTAGGAGGCCAGCTGAATGCATCAGGTATTTTCATTGGGCATAAGCTTAAATTAAGGATTTTGAATATCAAACTTGCAGGGTGAAAAAGATAAATAAACTATATAACTGTATATAACTAATATATATGCATTCAATGATATTATTTGTTCTCAGTTATACCTTCAATATTTTAATAAAAATGAATGATCAAGTTCATGAAGTCAGTCAAGTAGGAAAAGAAGGAGTAATTGATAAATTTAGTCATTAATAAATCACATAGGGATGAAAGGTTAAGAGTTACTTCAGACTTTAAATAATGCTTATAGCAGTACTTTTTAAGCCATATAAAATTATTTATTTATGGTTGTTCTTAATTAAAGGAAGATTATAGAGATTTAACATAGCCGTGCACACGTTTGGATATATATAATGATATAACTTTCATAAAATTAGTTGAATTTGATTCGTTAAGAAACATTCGTTAAAAAACACTATTACCCGCTGAATGATGAAGCCAAGCCAAGTCAACATTGCTTGACGACGTGTGATATTAAAAAAAATAGTGACTGCGCAGAATTTATGCGCACACGGTTCACTGTTATATGTATTTGTATAAAACATTCAGTATAATATAATAAATATTGCATGTAGTTGAGTGTAACAATGAAAATTTTCACCCCAAGAAAACCATTGTCAACCGAGGCTGCGCCTTTTCCTGCCTATTAAATTATATAATCCCCTGATTATTTTGGTATTCCTCTAAAATCCCCATTAGGGGAGGAACCCCAGATCTCCTTTTACTTTTTAAATGTCTCTTTCTATTTCAATTCTTAGGGTCAACCCTGATCATACGTTCATCCATTTGTCTCCATCTGTCCATCATACATTCTTTCATTGCTTCTCCTATATTTTTCAGGAGATATATTTTAATATTTTTCATTTATTTGGCCTAGCTTGTTCTGTAGACATTTAAATAAGGCCTTGAAGTTTTGTCTTAATAGTCCAGGGGCCTCATGAAAATAATTGAGGTTCAAAATTGCATGATGTCATTGAAACTCATCCGGCATTTCAAGAGGAAGAAATATTTCTTTTTGCGTATGATTTATCAAGTTATGTAGATATGCAAAAGCAACATGAATATTAACCAATCAGAAATCAGCACATGTGCATGCATGTCTGTGTATTCATTTCTAAAGACTGAAAAATGAAGGAACTTGTATTTATATTTACATATACTCTGAATTTCATCTTCTTTCATTAAAAACAAAGAAAGTTATGAATACTCACAACCTTAGCCAATCAGATTTCAGCATACATGCTTGCTCATATTTTCTAGATTTCTCACATATATATTCTTAAATGTATAAGCATTTAAAATAATGTCATTTGTGAAAGTACCCATTACTGTTTTATGGTTTCTTTCCGCCTGACATTGCTCTTATTTTCGTATATATAGTTTTGTAATTTACATAGATGTCATTGAAGAGTGCATGTAAATGGCTGCATCATTCTTATATAATTACATATATTAGACAATATTGAATTGAATGATTAATAACATTTTGAGCGTAGTAAAGAAATAATAACTTTTTTCAGCCATATCAAATACATTACAAGAGGCCCAAGGGCCTTAATGGTCACCTGAGTATAATACAACAATTTAGAGGATCCATAAAGTATAAAATGAACTGAAAGGTGAAGCTTTGTTGCCCAAAAGCAAGAAAAATAGGGTGATCAGGATCAACAAAATAATTAGTCTAGTTTTCATTAACAGTTCATAAATTATGTTCTAATCTGTTCCCCATTTATCACTATCACCATACAGTATATTAACAAATTATTAGTGATTCTGTACTATTTTAATTTCTTGATTAAATCTCTTACATTGGACTCTTTTGGTCTTTGATGAACATTGAATTAGACAAGTTATTTTTGTCTCATTTTTTATTTATCTATTACTTACAAGTCTACCTAATCATTTAAACTATAAAAGTACTTTATGTATTATACAATAAAAAATCTTGCATACTTCTCCTATTCTATTAACCTTTCAAGTACATTATTTACAGTGATTAATTATCAAAAGTAAATGGCAAAGGGGAATAACTCCTCTCAGTTGAATACAAATTAATAGAGCCCTGGCCAGGACCAGAACACTTGACCAAATGGTCCAGATGTTCAAAAATCTTTATTTTTACTCTTTTTGCCTCTGATATGACCAGGTGCAGAGAAAATTTTCCAAAAAAATAATGCATTTTTACTACAGATTCACTATATTATCAATAGACCCCCCCCTCCCCCTAGCACCAGAACCCCTGACCTTGGGGCCATGACTTTCACAATTTTGGTAGGGTAACCCTTGCTTATCATAACTATGTATTCAATTTGTTTCAATAATACCCAGGAGTAGAGAAGAAGATTTTCAAAGAAATAATACACTTTCAATATAATATGATCTATATAGCCCCACCCTAGCACCAGAACCCCTGACCCTGGGGCCATGAATTTCACAATTTTGGTAGAGTCTCCCTTGCTTATCATAACTATGTATTCAATTTGTTTCAATAATACCCAGGAGTAGAGAAGAAGATTTTTCGAAGAAATAATGCACTTTCACTATATGATCTATATAGCCCCACTCTAACACCAGAACGCCCAACCCTGGGGCCATGAATTTCACAATTTTGGTAGAGTCTCCCTTGCTTATCATAACTATGTATTCAATTTGTTTCAATTATACCCAGGAGTAGAGAAGAAGATTTTTCAAAGAAATAGTGCACTTTCACTATATTATCTATATAGCCCCGCCCTAGCACCAGAATCCCTGACCCTGGGACCATGAATTTCACAATTTTGGAAAAAGTATCCTTGTGCACCATTACTATGCACTTAGTTTGTTTAAATAATACCCAGGAGCAGAGAAGAAGATTTTCAAAGAATTAATACATTTTCACTATATAATCAATAGAGCCCTGCCCTACCACCAGAACCCCCTGACCCAGGGGCCATGAAATTCACAATTTTGAAAAAGGCATCAATGCTTATCATAACCTGCACTTAGTTTGTTTATATAATATCCAGGAGCAGAGAAGAAGATTTTCAAAGAATTAATGCATTTTCACTATATAATCAATAGAGCCCTGCCCTACCACCAGAACCCCTAACCCTGGGGCCATGAATTTCACAATTTTGGAAAAATCATCCTTGTGCACTATTATCATGCACTTAGTTTGTTTAAATAATACCCAGGAGTAGAGAAGAAGATTTTCAAAGAATTAATGCATTTTCACTATGTAATCAATAGAGCCCGCCCTTATACCAGAACCCCTGACCCTGGGGCCATGAATTTCACAATTTTGGAAAAGGCATCATTGCTTGTCATAACCATGCACTTAGTTTGTTTAAATAATACCCAGGAGCAGAGAAGAAGATTTTCAAAGAAATAATGCATAATAAGGTTTTAGCCCCACCCCTGGGGCCCCAGGGGGGCAGGGACCATGAAATTCACAATTTTTGTTCCCCTTCACCCAAAGATGCTATATGGCAAAATTGGTTGAAATTGGTTGAGCGGTTCTAGAGAAGAAGTTGAAAATGTTCAAAAGTTAACGCACGACGGATGACACACGACGACAGACAAAAACGGATAGCAATAGGTCACCTGAGTGACTCAGGTGACCTAAAAAAAGTATTGAACGGATAGACTATATATGGTATAAATTTCATATTACGTGTATACATGTATAGCTGGTTTCATCAAAGTGAAAGTATGTAAATGATATAAAGTAAAATTTGGCTTTGTGAGCATGAATATTGAATACCAGTGGGTAGAGGCTTTTTATTACTTCCTGGTGATTATCTAACCTTAAACTGTGTACTTTGTTCCGATATACCGGGTAGTATAAATAAATTGAAGAATTTCTCTTACGTCGCCTAATTCACTCAGTTGACTTATTACTTTTTTCATCTGTTATCTGTTGTGCATAAACTCTTCATGTTTTGGACTTCTCCAGATTAAACCTATAAATGTACCAGTAAGCAATTGAAAGTAGTGTACATTCAAACTTGGTCATGTTTTGGAATGGAACATTAACAGATCCAAGGCCTAACATAGATTTATGGATATATATACATATAGGAAAAACATGGCCAAAAACATGTAGGTGGAAACTCCAAAAGGAGGGAAGGAAGAGGGGGCCAGTGTTTTGTTTGTAATATACATGTACAGGGCTTGGAACCAAGAAAAAAGTTTAAGATATCCTATGATCTGAAATATAGAGGTTAAAATACATTTAAAAAAGTGGTTTGGACTTTTTACTCACTTCAATATTATATCCATGGTGTTCAAGATATTGGTGTTTGAGATCAGTACATGGTGGAAATGGAACATTAACAGATCCAAGGCCTAACATAGATTTATGGATATATATACATATAGGAAAAACATGGCCAAAAACATGTAGGTGGAAACTCCAAAAGGAGGGAAGGAAGAGGGGGCCAGTGTTTTGTTTGTAATATACATGTACAGGGCTTGAGATAGAATTGTTGCAAGAGTAAGAAAATGTTCTCATGTAGTGTAAATAAATTCAAATTTGTTTACCTTTACATTGTGGCTCTTTGTTTGGAGGAGTACATAAGACAAAAGAACACATAATGTGGGTAAAACTATTTGCCTTGTCCGACAGCCATCTTTGCTAGCCAAGAGTTTTCAGTCCGCTAATCTGACAGAGTGGACCGAAGATGTCACTCAGAAGTGGCCTTTTGCTCAAGTTTCATTTTATCATTTTTTAAAATAATGATAATTTTTTGGTGTGTGTTTGTTTTAAACATGTTCATGTTGTAAAAAAATTCTTAATTAAAATGTATGTGAAATATGACTTTTTCAGTGAATTGTGTTGATCGACATCTTGACAGTCTTGGAGATTCCACTGCTTTGATTTGGGAGAAAGACGAACCAGGCACTGAGGAGCATGTCACATACAAGTTAGTCTGAGTACTGAAATAGATACACTGTTGGTCTTGAGTACTGAAATAGATCCACTGTCAGTCTTGAGTACTGTAATATATCCACTGTCAGACTTGAGTACTGTAACAGATCCACTGTCAGTCTTGAGAACTGAAATAGATCCACTCTCAGTCAATAGATCCACTGTCTGTCTTGAGTACTGAATAGATCCACTGTCAGTCAAGAGTACTGAAATAGATGCTCACTCCTCCATAGCACCTGATCCCAACTCTGATGTTTTGGAGGTCCGTGTTTGCTCTGCTCCTATTTTGTATTGTTTAATGAACTTTTGAGCTTGAACACTGTTCGTTATCTTCATATATTTCATCCACTGTCAGTCTTGAGGACTAAATAGATCCACTGTCAGTCTTGAGTTCAATAACAGATCCACTGTCAGTTTTGAGTACAATAATAGATCCACTGTCAGTCTCGAGTACTGAAAAAGATCCACTGTCAGAACTTGAGTTCTGAAATAGATCCACCGTTAGTCTTGAGTACTGAAATTGATCCACTGTTAGTCTTAAGTACTAAAATTGATCCACAGTCAGTCTTGAGTACTGAAAAAGATCCACTGTCAGTCTTGAGTACTGAAATAGATCCACCGTTTGTCTTGAGTACTGAAATGGATCCAGTGTCAGTCTTGAGTTCTGAAATAGATCCACCATTAGTCTTGAGTACTGAAATTGATCCACCGTTAGTCTTAAGTTCTGAAATTGATCCACTGTCAGTCTTGAGTTCTGAATAGATCCCCTGTCAGTCTTGAGTTCTGAAATAGATCCACTGTTAGTCTTGAGTTCTAAAATAGATCCACCATTAGTCTTGAGTACTGAAATAGATCCACCGTTAGTCTTGAGTACTGAAATGGATCCAGTGTCAGTCTTGAGTTCTGAATAGATCCATTGTCAGTCTTGACTACTGAATAGATCCACTCTCAGTCTTGAGTTCTGAATAGATCCAGTGTCAGTCTTGAGTTCTGAAATAGATCCACCATTAGTCTTGAGTACTGAAATAGATCCACCGTTAGTCTTGAGTACTGAAATGGATCCACTGTCAGTCTTGAGTTCTGAATAGATCCATTGTCAGTCTTGACTACTGAATAGATCCACTCTCAGTCTTGAGTTCTGAATAGATCCAGTGTCAGTCTTGAGTTCTGAAATAGATCCACCATTAGTCTTGAGTACTGAAATGGATCCACTGTCAGTCTTGAGTGCTGAAATAAAACTACTCTCAGCTGTATTTAGCTAAAAATTGAATACTTGAGAATTGCCACATAGTATTACAAATACAGCAAAACTCGTTTAGTATGAACACGGATATAGCGAATATACGGATATAGCGAAGTTTTTTGCTATCCCCGGCAGAATTCTTAACAATTCCTTGTAAAATTTTACGGCTATAGCGAACTCGAATATAGCGAATTTATGGCTATAGCGAACTGATTTTGTGTCCCCTAGAAGTAAAATATAACAAAATATACATCTTTTATAGCGAATATTTAAAGATCTTAATTTTTAAAATGTTGAACTGATAAAAATTTTGTAAGTTTAAACATTTGAAACTCATTCCATTCTAAAACTTTTAAACTCCAAGATAAATTTTATATTTTAAACTTCCCTAAATACATTTGGTAGTCATGCTTGAAGGAAAAAATAATATAACGAATTCGCAATGCATACTTTGACAAATTCGCTATACTGATATAACGAATTACGGATATAGCGATCGAAGTAAATTCGCAGGTCCCCAGAACTTCGCTATAACCGAGTTTTGCTGTATACGTGTACTTATGAAGTGGACATTATAATGAAAAATTATTTAATTTGGACATATTATGAAACAAAGTTATTTGTCCCTGGAAGTTCACTGTACTATGCTTAGCAATTAAACCATATATATTCTACACAGAGAGAGACTTTCATTGCTCTATCAGTGTGAAAACACAATTTGTAGTGATGTACATGGTGAAAATATTGCCAATTAAACTAATTTTTGAAACTGGAAGTTAGAAATGAGTGTAATATCAATAATTATAGTTATATAAATATTCAGTTGTAAAAATATATACTGTATAAGCAGAAATTTTAGCGAGGATTCAATTTAAGCATTTTGAATCAGGGTGTGGAGTTTACTAAAATTGAATATCGCTAATAAATAACTCCACATTGGAGGTCACTGAAATCTTTCTAGGCACAAAATCATTAAAATAATTTCTTGCTAAAATTAAATACTGATTTTTTAAGAAAAATTGCTAAATTTGCAGCTTGCTAAAAATTCCACTAATATTGTATATTCACTGATTTATTCTTCATTTCTAACAGGCATCTATCACAAATGGTGAACAGAATTGCCAATATGCTGAAGAACCATGGTGTGAAGAAAGGAGACAGAGTTGCCATCTATCTGCCAACCTCACCTGTTGCCATTGCCGCTATGTTGGCGTGTGCCAGGATAGGGGCAGTCCACAGTGTAGTGTTTGCTGGATTCAGTGCAGAGGCTTTGGCAGGCAGAATCCAGGATGGTAAATTTTACTTAATACTGATAATTATACATGTATCCTGAAAATGAAACCTTCAACGTCGCTTTAATAATCTGCTTCCAATTTGTTAGAGTAACTTTTTTCTTTGGATTGTTTAATTTTTTGATACATTTTTCATAATTAGCAGTTAATTTAAGTAAAAAACGAAAATTTAACTTATCGTTATCATAATTAGAAAAGAGAAAAAAAATGAATATGTGTATCTGCATTATATCTGTTCTGCAAAAAAACAAACTATTGATTGTTAAGTCCTTTAGGCATACAATAAATTTAAAGAATCCTTATTTCCAAGCACTTTGGGAGAAACAGTGTAGAAACAATCTGTAAGATTATATACACTGACTAATGTTTTCATTAGAAATAGTGGTTATTTATCATCAATTATTTTGAACTCGTACTATCTTTCATTTTAGCCGATGCTGAGACAGTGATCACTGCTGATGAGGGTGTGCGTGGGGGTAGATCAATTCCACTGAAGAAAACAGTGGATGAGGCAGTATCTCAGTGTCCCTGTGTCAAACGAGTATTTGTGTATCAACGAACAGGAAATGGATCCATGGGAAAGAATGACTTCTCGTTGGATGACGTATGTATTCTGATATATAACAATTTATCTGTATGCTATAAAATCACCTATGGGGTCTTAGTCTGAGGGAAAAAAATATTGGTTAATAGGGATTTGAATTCATGATTGAAGAAGCAAAATGATACTGTTGTTTTTAATAAGTTTAACATTTTATGGGCGACATGAATATGATAAAATATAATGAATAATAATCCCCCCACAAAAAATAGTGATTTCACAGTATTTATTACATTTTTTGTTTTGTATGTGCACCTGCCACTAGCTCTTTAATTTGTTCAAATCAAAGCTAATTTTAGAATAGAATAAGTTGGTTTTGCTATGTTGATTTTAGCTGGACTAGCTGTGGGATCATGAAACATCTTAAGCTTCAGTCAAAATATATGTATTTACTGTGGTGCCGAAATGATGTAGAAGTTAAACAGTCCAAAATAAAAATATCCAATATTTCATCACCAAGGTGCTGTATCATGATCCTGGGGCAAGAGTCTAAGTGTAACCCTCTCCCTCCCCCATGAAATCAGTGCATTGCTGAAAGCAGCATTTGTATTCTTGACTTTGAAAGAGCAACATTTTCAGTGAAAGTTGACAAAAGATTGATGCAATGTAAATATTTATAACAATGCAGTTTTTTGGAGTATATATATTACCGGTAGTTCATGTTTTATTAAATGCAGATTGTTTTCTCACCAGGAAATGGCTAAGGAGTCAGATATTTGTGAGCCAGAGCGAATGGAGAGTGAAGATTACTTGTTTATGTTGTACACCTCAGGGTCTACAGGAAAACCCAAAGGCATTGCCCACTCCACTGCTGGGTATCTGTTGTATGCTCTGATGACTCAGAAGGTAAACCTTTAACTGTGCCATATATATGGTCCCCCCTACCCTCAACTTCTACCCAAAAATTTCAAGCAACTTCATAATTATTCACCTGTGGTACCCTTACTCAGAATGTAGTAAATGTTGAACAATTTCATTAAAGCATAGGTTATGAGCATGAAACCATTTTCTCTATACTAAAACAATTGACTTTGTTTTGACAGCATGTATTTGACTACAAAGTTGGAGAGAGGTTTGGATGTGTGGCAGACATTGGCTGGATCACCGGACACAGTTATGTTGTGTATGGACCACTCCTTAATGGAGCCACCACAGTACTCTTTGAAAGTACTCCTATTTATCCAGATGCAGGTCAGTGAAAGTGGTAAAAAGTGTCCTAAAATGCCTACTTATACACTTGATATTTTCAGTTATGGATTTTAAGTACAGCTAAACTTTGGTATCACAAACACCAACATCTCGAATACCATGGATATGTCAAAGTGATATGGAAGTCCCAAGCACTTTTTCTTTAAGTATTTTACCCTCAATATCTCGAACCCTTGGATATCTCAAGGTTTATTCTTAGTCCCATCGAGTTTGAGATAAAGAGATTTGACTGTATTAACAGATTTGCAAGGAAAAGAAATTTGACTCTGATGAGTATTATGGCCCATGAGCCTCTTGTTTAAAAACTTTTCTTTTATTCAATTAAGGAATGAAGCTTATTTTAACCTATGTTATATGATATAACATAACTTGGGGCAGTTTACGCTTTATAAACTGCCAAGCGGCTTATAAAAAAGCGTAAACTGTCCCAAGTTATGTTATATCGTATAACATAGGTTAAAATAAGCTTCATTCCTTATAATTTAAATTCAGTGTAGACAATAAGACAATTTTTCCTCCAAAAATGGCTTCAAATTGAGCATATTTTAAAAGTAATGTCAAGCTGAGTAATACGTTTTTGACGTAACTCATTGTGACGTAGGTAACTTATGTTATGCGATATAAACGAAATCTTTTATCCAATCAAATGGCATGTTACAACTAAAATTAAATTATATGCATATGTAACCCATTTTAGGCAGATACTGGGAGATGACAGAGAGGCTGAGGTTAAACCACATGTACTTAGCCCCCACAGCTCTCCGAATGATACTGAAGGAAGGGGACAAATTTGTCACTAAGTATAACAGGTCATCGTTAAGAAAGCTAGGATGTGGTAAGGAGAAATAAATCTCCCTTATACACTTTAACTGTTATGAGTTAATGAATATTTATTTCATAATCATGTTCTAGTTTTATGTCATGGTATCTTAAAATGTATTACAAACAAGTGTGCACATCCAAAAAATGTTCTGTTTTTAGGTTGGAAAAGGATAAAATTTTCAAGAAAACTTATATATTTATATTTTGTTGCTTCATATTTTTTATCTCTTACTTAGTAAAGAAATTAATGAAACCATTCTTTATATACATACATGTACTTATAGCTTGTATATATAAAACATATATATTTTCTCAGTATTTCTCCAAATTTTTTTTCAGTTGGGGAGCCACTGAACCATGAAGCATTTGAATGGTACCGAGATGTAGTGGGGGCAGGGAAATGTGACGTGGTGGACACCTGGTGGCAGACAGAGACGGGGGGAATCTGCATCACACCCCGTCCCTCAGAGGAGGGAGCGCCAATTTTTCCAGCCATGCCCATGAGGCCTTTCTACGGAATTGCTCCTGCACTAGTGGACCAGAATGTATGATTTGTACATCATAGTTTACATATAATTTTTTGTATTATTTGCTTTCCTTCCTGCTTAAAATGTCAAACAGCCAATATTTTGTGAGAATATAAAAGTGATAATTAATGCATTAGGGAATACTGAACTTAACAATCTGATAGTTTTCTTAATAGTTTTGATAAATGCCTTTGTAATACTACAATCGTTAACATTTTTTTAATACTTAGGGAAAAGAGGTCACTGGAAATGATGCTAAAGGTGCCCTGTGTATCAAGTCTGTGTGGCCAGGAATGGCCCGTACAATTTATGGTGACCACAACCGATTTCTTGACACCTATTATAATCCATTCCCAGGTATGTCATGGTTCCCATAATTCTTTCTGTCTCTCCATAAACATTCCTCTCTTCTCTACTATATGATATTACAAAAATTGATATTTTTAGGATATTACTTCAGTGGGGATGGAGCGAGGAGGACAGCTGATGGTTACTATCAGATAACAGGACGAATGGATGATGTTTTAAATATTAGTGGGCACAGACTGGGCACAGCTGAAATTGAGGATGTACTGGTATGTTTTATAAGGTACCCTTTAAGTAATTTTGAGGGGTTTTATGTCGCTCTATGAATGTGGCTTGGGCATATAGATTTTGTCGAGTCCATCTTCTGTCTTTCCCACCTTCCCCTAGTTCATCCACAACACTTTGTTTATCTTTGTTTCAAAGAAACATTCAAGATATTTTAACTAACATTCATATTACACTGATAGAAATTTCTGCTATTCTACTGTGGCACAGTAATCTGACCTTGACCTTCCATGTGACCTTGACCTCACTGTTACTTATTTTGCATTAAGCACAATTTGGAAGAAACTGTTCATGATATTTTCATCAAAACTCATACACTGATACATATTCGTAGGAACTATTCAACTGTCTCATAATTTTTTGACTTTGACCTTCTTATGACCTTGACTCTACTATTTGTCATTTTGCATTTCTCTCAGTAATAAAGAAACCATTCTGGATATGTTCATCAAACTTCATTCAAAGATACAAATTGATAAGAGTAATTCAACTGTTTCATAATTATTTGACATTGATCTTCTCTATGACCTTGATCTCACTTTTCTTTATTTTGCATTTATCTTAATTTCAAAGAAACAAATATATGAATTGATTAGAGCTATTCAACTGTGTCATTTTTTTTCCCTTGACCTTACTATTAATTGTAAGCTTACCTGAGTTATTGGGCCAATTTCAACCAAACTTGGTACAGAGCATCCTTGGGTGAAGGGAATTCAAGTTTTTTCAAATAAAGGGCCACATCGCCTTTTCAAGGGGATATTATTAATTTGTAAAAATTTAATTATAGCATCTTTTAAAAATCTCAAGAATCACTGGGCCAGAAAAATAAAACTTGTGTAAAAGCTTCATTACATAACGTAGATTCAGTTTTGTTCAAATCATGGCCCATTCTGTTCTGAAGAACAGCGGCATCAAGGTAACTCAGATGAGCAATGTGGGCTATGGGCCACTTGTTGATATCAGCAAACACAATAATCAGAAAATTATAGTTTTTTGATTTTGTACCACAAATTATTTCTTGATATACTTGTAAGAAAATAGAAGGCTAATAATTTTTTGCTGTCAAAAAAGTATTCTTTGATATTAAAAACTTGATTTTTTATATCTAAAAGTGAACTTTTAATGTTGTTAAATAACTGACATTCTCTAATGTCACAGATTTGAATTCTTGATATCAGAAAGTGATTGTTGATATCAAATATTGTTTTTTGGTATACAATGTACAGAAAAATGCCTCAAAAATACTTAAATAGCACCTAGTTGATATCAACTTTATTTCAAATAAAGTTACCTTCACTTGTAGACACTGTTCATGTAAAATTGTGTATTCAAATTACAAGCCCTTTATGCTAAATGTAAAGACCTGTAGGTCAGATGATGGTACATGAGTCAGAAAAGCTGTTCATGTTGCTGTGTTTTTTAACTTTTTATAAAGGATGACCAGGAAGAAATAGCAGAATCAGCTGTGGTAGGATATCCTCATGATGTCAAGGGAGAAGGCAAGTAGTCCAAGGGAAATAATGCTAATGTATACCTTAATATTAGGTACATTAAGATTTAAATCAAAATTCAATTGAGAACTCAAAGGTTTAATATAGATGAATAATTAGCCATCATAGGAATTTGTTATTGTGAGGTAGTGTTTTTGATTTTGGTATTTATGCATTTCTGATAGTTATTGTGAGGTAGTGTTTTTTTTTTTTTTTAGGTATTTATGCAATTGTTGTTGTTACTGTGAGGTAGTGTATTTGTTTTAGGTATTTATGCATTTGTGGTTCTGAAGGGTGAATCTCACAAGGCTTCTGACAAGTTAGCGGAGGAGATGAGGGTCATGGTGAAGACAAGGATATCGTCATTCGCACAGCCTGATAAAATTCTAGTATATATGATTTAATAGTAATCACTTGGTAGTATTTAATATGATAACAATTAATATCTAGTTATTCAGAACAAAGAAATGGATTTGATTCAATGTCAAATAACATCAATTTAGATTACTGCTATTTGAAATAAAACAAATGTTATTGTATCCTAGAATTCTGATTGTCACAATCATTTTCAACTTCAATTATAAAAATTAATTTCAGTTCACTCCTGGGCTTCCTAAGACAAGATCTGGCAAAATCATGAGAAGAATATTGAGGAAGATTGCAGCAGATAAACCTGACGAGCTCGGAGACACGTCCACATTGTTTGATCCGTCTGTAGTGGATGCCATAGTGAACAAGCATCAGGCTGTGTACGGAGAGAAGAAGGAATGAAAGGCAGTCAATAGTGGATTTAATCCGGACTACCTCTCATTTGAATTATCCAGAGGCCTTAATTATTTTTTGGATGATTTTGAACAGTTATTGATAGTCATTGTAAATGATAGTCATTGTAAATATACGTTTTAGAATAATCAGTATTAAAACTTCATGTATCAGTGTTTGAAATAACTGTGTGCCCGACCACCCGAGATGAACAAATTTTGCTGCGGACGAACAGATTTGCACGTATTAACGCCTGACTGGACGTGTTAAAATTTGCCATAAATTAAAATTCATCTATTTGACAAATATCTCTCAATCAACTAATAGTATCGGTAGCTAAGTAGCAAAGGTGTAGAATTCGACAGGCTATAGATTCGGGATGGAAGTTATGGTGATCGCGCTAAAAACAAATTTATGAAAGACTTTTATTTTCTTGGGCTAGTAGGGTTTTGGCAGGGCTGACAACTTTCACTCGCAGTCAGTCCTGCATGTCTAGCTAATTCTACCGTGAGTTTCAAACACTGCATGTATTACGGGATCTGTTGATTTATGTGTTCTTTAGGCTGTGCTTTGAACTTTCTTTAATTAAAATTTATTTAAATGTACACGACTAATATATCACTATCTTTTTTTATATTATATATATCATTTAATTCAGCACAATTTTTGATAAAATTTTTTAATCAATCTATAAGGTTGAATATGTGTTTGTTTGATTGAAACTTGGTTTTAGATGAGACTGCAGAGGCAAGATATTTTACATTTTGATTGTTTTTAAATAATTTAAATGATAGGTTTTGAGCATTTAAAATGCTTTGCACAGTATATATCCCAGATACATGTATGTAGCCTTTATCAATACTTTCACAATGGAAAATTTTGTATTATGCATAAAAGAAAAATGTTAATTAGAAGGTTGTTAATGCTACCAGTAAAATAAAATTTGTTAAAGCACAATACTGTTAAACATGATTATATTTGCAAATTCATGCTTACAACGAAGTTATATGTAATCATCCAGTGCTTGAAAAAATGAATAATTAACTGGACATAACCAGTTATGTATGTAACCAAGCATATTCTGCTTGACAATCTCAATAACTGTGTTTAACCATACATTTTGTGGGGGGTTTTTTTGTTTTTGTTTTTTGTATACAATTTAGATTTACTAAAGACTATGAGTGCTGTTCCTGTGTTATTGGATGATCTATTTCTTGAAAACAGCTTTGTTTTAAATTTGAACATATTAATTATTTTGACCATTTTATTATTTCTTTTTTAGTAATATTTTGATAGATGTACTTGAAAATGTGTAGATTTTTTTTTTTTAATTCATGCTTACAACGAAGTTATATTTAATCATCCAGAGCTAGAAAAAAATGAATAATGAATTGGATATAAATAAATACGTATGTAACCAAACAAATTCTGCTGTCATTGACAATGTCAATACTGGTAATTGTGTTTAACCATACATTTTTGTTTGTTTGTTTTTTTTCCCCTTTTTTTGTATACAATGTAGGTTTAAAACTATGCATACTGTTCCTGTGTCATTGTATGCTTAATTTCTTGAAAGCTTTAATTTTTTTTGAATTTGAAAGTATCAATTATAGATGTATTGGAAAACGTGTACCTTTTTTTTTTTTAAATGAAAGGAAACGTTGACGTTTTTTAAAATATTTTTGTAAAGTTTTCTTTATTAGACAAAGCTGCACATGTAATATTAAGTGATCTGGATGTAGTAATTATGAATTTCCTAATTTTTGAACTTTTCTACCACCATTAATTTATATACTAGTCTACACATGTTCATTTAATATTAGATTTTCATGTAGTTAATTGTTAATGTTTGTTAGAAATCCTTTAAATGTTACTGTTAAATATTCATTGATTGGTAAAAATTTACTGTGAATGAAATTTTTGTTATAAGTCTGTCTAGTCATACAGCTGTTGTTTTTGCAATCAGCAGATATCAATCCTAAAATTTTTTAGTATTCAACACTTTGTATTAAATCTTAGTCCATATGACTATGCATTAGAATTTATGAAATAAATACGACTTACAAAAATGCCTTTTTTCACTGTATTTTATGATGTACCATTATTAGTGGGATGAGAATGTTAATGCTATCATAAAGCATTATATAGAATGAAAATCAAAGAAAAATGTTTTAAAAAAATATAAAAAATGAAATTGTGAGAAAGAAATCCCATATTTAATGATCAGAAATTATTCATATTTGTTTGTTTTTGTATCCAATCACAAAACACTAGGATAAAAAATACACAACTCATGGATAACTATATATTTACAATTAGTAAACACTGAAGCTCTTGCACAAGAAGGCTTTTGTACATGTATTCATTTACATTTTTGTGAAGCTTGCTTGCTTTTTCTGACTGGTATTCTTAGGTGCCTAATGTTAAAGGATTTATTTTTAATGAGCTAGAACAAAAATTTCATTTTCAACAATGAATTCAAGTTTTACTTTTAAAATTCTATTTATAGATTTCATGAAAGTAAAACTTTGCAAATGGAAGCATTCCAACCCACCAAAATATTAGTCTTGAAGTATTCATTGTGAACCTTTTGTTTTTCACCTATGCAGGTTTTATGTTTACAAATTACAGTGTGCATGTATATTAGCATAGTTTTACATGTATGGTAAAATGCTTGTTAGATACTAGTACCTGTGACAGTTGTGCTGACTTGAAATTGGCTGCTGGTGGTCTTCTGTGGATTTGAAACAAAAAACAACAAAAAGCTTTATCACCAAAGACATCTCAGTGTGAAATACTGTAACATAGTGTAGGATGTATAACTTGTATCACTGATGTTTTCCTTTGCCCAACAGAATTTTCCACATCATGCTGCATACATAAAAGCTTGTCCATAGAGTATTATTTGTATTCTATCTGTTTTTGAATTTGTTGAGAAATATATACCATACAGTAAAATATTTGTTATAGAAAACCTGGTTATGGCAGAGAATAGTTGCTTATAGAGATTATTTGTTGCCTTTGTTTATCGTAGAATAGAGAAATATTTACTTTATGTAATAGATGTATTCCGTTGGATGTCTGTAGATGTAATATGGACTTTGTTTTATTTAAAATTTATTCACATGCAATATAAATCATGTGTGTCATATAGCAGCTATTATCTGGAAAAAAAAACAATGTATAAATTAATTTGAAAGTCTTGAGAATGTTGAAAAAAGTTTCTGTGAATTGTAGAATGTTGGTAATAAATATATCCTAAGCAGATGGAATTTTCAACTTATTTTTAATTTTTTTTTTTTTTGATGCACATGAGTCAGAGGCTCAAGTAATTTTTAGTTAAAGTTAAAGACATAAAACAGATCACCAACACTTCATGAGAATGCATTTTGACGAAGTGACTTGGTGATCTGTTTTATGTCTTTAAAACTTTAGATACAGACCCTTTCAAATACCTTTCAGTATCCACACCTGGAATCTTCCACAAGTTTAACCTCAAAGTGTTGGTTTCCAGTTTTTAGCTCTACTGGTCAGAGACCAGGCCTAGAGGTTATAAAACTTTTTGAGTACGTACTCCGTGCTCAAACTCATTCTCTGTACTCCAAAACCATACTCATGCTGCAAACTTCCACTCTAAGTTGTATATAAATTTGGAGTATGTTTATGGTATCGGAGAACGGAGTATGAGTTTGAGCATGGAGTATGTACTCAAAAAATTTTATAAACTCCAGGCCAGAAGAGCTTTTGCAATAGTAAGGTGTCCATCCGTCTGTCTGTCCGTCAGTCTGTAAACAATTTTTCAGAACACTACTCCTCCTACAGTTTTGGTCGGATTTCAATATAACTTGGCAAAAAAGTAGACTACACTAAGATACATAATTCTATGTATAGGTTTTTGATTTCAATGAATGTTGTTGCCATGGTTACTAAAAATAGAAATTTCTGTGAAATACATTCAAAATAGTTCTCCTACAGTTTTGGTCTGATTTCAATATAACTTGGCACACAAGTAGACTACACTAAGATTCATAATTATATGTATCGGTTTTTGATTTCGATGAACGGTGTTGCCATGGTTTCTAAAAATAGAAATTTCTGTGAAATACATTCTAAATGCTACTCCTCCTGCAGTTTTGGTCTAATTTCAATATAACTTGGCACACAAGTAGACTATAATAAGATACGTTATTCTGTATATCGGTTTTTGATTTATGGTGAACAGTATTGCTATGGTTACTAAAAATAGAAATTTCTGTGAAAAACTTTAAAAATGCTATTCTTTCCACAGTTTTGGTCTGCTTTCAAAATAACTTGGCACACAAGTAGACTACACTAAGATACATAATTCTGTCTATCAATTTTTTTGATTTTGGTGTAGTGTTGCCATGGTTACAAAAAATGAATTTCTTTGATATACTTTCGAAACATTACTTCATCTACAGTTTGGTCTGATTTTAATATAACATGGCATGCAAATAGACTACACTTAAATACATAATTGTCTTGATTGTTTTTTGATTTTAATAAATAATGTTGCCATGGTAACTAAAATTGAAATTTCTCTAAAATTCTTTTAAAAGGCTACTCCTTATACAGCTTTAGTCTGCTTGCAATTCATCTTGCCACAAAAAGAGAGTAAAACAAGGATTACTATTTATTTATTGCTGTTGCAAAGTTTCAAGTCCAAATGCTACTTTTCTCTTCCTTTATTGTTCTAAGTACAAACCAGTAGAGCTACAGTCTCGGCAGAGATTTCTGGTTCTTTGTTTAGTTTAATTTGATAAAGTCAAGATAAGCTTATGCTATACCCTGTCTTGTTAAAGTTTAAAGAACAAGTCCATTCCCAAGTAATTTCATGTATAAGCTAGCCTGATGGGACTAAACTTGCATGAATGAATGAATTTAATTGACCTTTAGAGAAAAAAAAACACGTCTTAATCTCATTGTCCGTATTCCAAGTCTAAATGTCAAAGAACTCTCAAGTTATCACAAGTACATTTTCGTTGACTTTAAGAAATGAGTCAAGGTAAAAATAAGACATTGATTTAGTGCATCTCATCTTTCTATGTTCCATGTATGAAGTACTTGTGTCCAAGGAACCTCAAGTTATGGCTTGGACACTATTTCTATGCATAAAAATAGGAAGGAGAAGAACATGGTGTCTTTTTGAAAGCCTGATGCCCCTGTTTGACAGCTCCTGGACAAGATTAAAATTTCTGAAAGCAAGCAAAACTCCAAGGTCAAGAGATCAAAATATTGGTACCCAAAGGATCTTTTCACAAGGAATATACATATGAAATACAAGAGGCCCATGGGCCACAATGCTCACCTGAGTCAATATGGCACTTCTGTTCTTCGTCAGCAGATTTCTTCTCCTATATATTCATATGTAAAGCTTTGATCGCCTGCTCTTGGCATACCCTTAGCCTACCCCCAGGTGCCATGTTTTGAATGACATTGAATCTAAACTTTCTAAGGATGCTTCTATATTCAAATAACTAATCATTGTTGTTCTTGAAAACAGAATTTTAAAGATGTCTGCCACCCTACCCTGGGAGAAGGGGGGGGGGGGGGTCATGATTTGAACAAACTTGAATCTACACTACCTGAGGATGCTTCTGTATCAATATGACTAATCATGGCTTTGTTGTTCTTGAGAAGAAGATTATTGAAGATATTTCCTATATATGTTCTTTTGTAAAACTTTGATCACCCATTATGGCCCCACCCTACTACTGGAGGATGCCTTGAACAAACCTGAATCAACAAAATTTGGGGATGCTTCCATATCAATATGATTAATCATGGCTTTTCTGTTTCTGAAAAGATTTTTAAAGAATTTTCCTATATACTCCTATGTAAAACTTTGATCCCCCATTGTGGCCCCACCCTACCCCCAGGAGTCATGATTTGAACAAACTTGAATCTACACTACCTGAGGATGATTCCATATCAATATGACTAATTGTGGCTTTGTTGTTTTTGAGAAGAAGATTTTTAAAGAATTTTCCTATATATTCCTATGTAAAACTTTGATCCCCCATTGTGACCCCACCCTACCCTAGGGGGTCATGATTTTAACAAATTTGAATCTACACTATGTAATGAAAGTTTCACTTAAGTTTCAACTTTTCTGGCCCAATGGTTCTTGAGAAGAAGATTTTTAAAAGATGACACCAAATTTTCACCAATTTTTAATTATCTCCCCTTGGAAGAGGGCATGGCCCTTCATTTGAACAAACTTGAACCCCCTTTACCCAAAAATGCTTTGTGGTAAGTTTGGTTGAAATTGGCCCAGTGGTTCTGGTGAAGAAGTCGAAAATGTGAAAAGTTTACAGGCAGACAGACGGATGGACAGCTAGACAGACTGACGACGGACAAAATGTGATCAGAAAAGCTCACTTGAGCTTTCAGCTTAGGTGAGCTAATAAAAGCCCTTGCACCAACCATTTAGAAGTTATGGACAAGGTTTAAGTTTTTCAAAAGTAGGTAATACTCCAAGGTCAAGGTCAAAATTGCTGGTATCCAAGGGAAGTCTTGTCACAAGGAATATACATGAAACATTAAAGCCCTAGCACCAACTGCTCAAAAGTTATGACCAAAGCAAAAATTTTCAAAAGTAGGTCAAACTTAAAGGTCAAAAAGGTCAGTACCTAAGCGAAGTCTTGCATAAGCCCCATCACTAAATGTTCAAATATTATGGCCAAGATTAAAGTTTTTTCAAAAGTATGTCATACTCCAAGGTCAAAGTCATGAGGTCAAAAATGTTGGTACCCAATGGAAGGTCTTGTCACATAGAATATGAAAGCCCTAGCACCAACCATTTGAAAGTTATATGTATGTCCAAGGTTAAAGTTTTTCAACAGGATGTCATACTCCAAGGTCAAAAGGTCAAAAAAGTCAAAAGTAAGTCATACTCCAAGGTCAAGGTCAAAACTTCATTAATGATGGCACCCAACAGAAGGTTTTGTCAGAAGGAATATACAAGTGAAATATGAAAGCCCTAGCTAAGACCATTCAAAAATTATGGGCAAGGTAAAAGTTTAATAAAATTTTGCAAAAGTGGGTCAAACTCCAAGGTTAAGGTCAAATATGTTGGTACTCCATGAAAGTTCTTGTCACAAGAAATACAAATGTGAAATATGAAAGCCCTAGCTTCAACTAACCAAAAGTTATGGGCAAGGTTAAACTCTTTGCAGACGAACAGGCAGACAGACAGATCAAACACTATATGCTCCCAAATCATTGAATACAGAGGCATACAAAAAATGACAAACACAATATATTTCACTTTTCCATGATTGAGAGACATAATTCTTTGAAGAGTTACTAAAATGTCCAATTCATGAAGGTCAACAGTTAAAAAAAAACCAGATTAACATAAATGTAATACTTTAATACATATTTTTGTCATTGTTATATCTCAGTCAATTTACCATCCCAAAAAATCATTCATAAGGTCATCTATTTCATTTCTCCATATTTTAGTGTACTTTATACCATGACCTTGCAATTTTCTAAATGACTTCACATATCTATATATTTAAATTTTTATAATTAAGTCAACTGTACATCCAACAAGAATTGTATAACATGGTGTTGATATCCCATCTCTCTGCAGTTGACATTATGGACACAATGATCCATAAAATGGATCTTAACTTGAAAAATTTAGTTTAATGTCCTCCTTCGTTAAAATGGCCTTCATCAACTTTTTCCAGCCATTGTCTTGTATGGTGAGTCATCTGTGTACTGTAAGTGGTGTTCCTGAAATCGCGTAGATATTCTTTGTGTGGACTTCAGATATTTCTCTAAGCAATTTAAGGAACAGCTATTCTGAAATCAGAAATGAACTTTGATAAATGGTGAATGGATCAAAATTTAGTTTTCAAATATTTCATCAAATAATGGCAACAATAATTGAAATTGAAATAATCTTGACACCTTATGCAAAACAGTGTGTCTAAAGTTATGATGATCTTTCGAGAATATTATTTTTTTTTCTTTATGCTTGTATATATGATTTCAAAAGACCCTATTACTTCTGCTAAAAGTATAGAATTCAAATAGTTCTAGGTGTACTACACACTATACACTACCCTACACAATATAATTAGCATACTTCTCATGAGTATTTCTAATACGTTGGGGAAATAAGATGACTATTCTACATGTACGTCAAAAATTGTTCCATCAGTTGGCCCATATTTAATGAATTTATAGATCTTTTATAATCCAAAGAAATTTTTACTTTTATTATCTTCCATTGTATGAGAACATGGCCCTTCATTTAAAGAGATACTGTAAACCAACTATTAGTCACATCTCTTTTATTTGTGATTTGTCAGTTGTAAATCAATCTGCAACGATAACTTTTGCGACTAAGGAAACATTCTGTACAAATAGTGCAAAATAAATGGTTCGCAATGATAAATATGTGTGAGTTAGAGTAGGTTGCAAAACTCACAGATATTTCTCACACGCGAATAAAAGTTGGTTTGCAGTAACCTACAAATGCTTTCTTTTAATTTGGCTTAAAATATGTGTTGAAGAGGAAATGTATACCACTTTGGAAGATTATTATAAAAGAAAAAAAAATGTACACCAGCAACAAACCTGAGTTTTAGACAATCTGATTAAAATCAGATCATTTGATTCGCTCACACAGATCACTACACAAGGTGTGTAGCTACATGTTATGCTCATACATCATATTTCAATGTCATGAAAATTACATACCTCAGCATTTGAAATTTTTCTTGTTGTAAAATCATGAATACAGTCTTTAAAACACATCTGTGTTATTTTATTATATGCTCCAATAAACTCTTTAAACTGAAAATCAAAATATCTACATATTAGTCCAGCTGGGAGTGAAACAAATAATACATACTGTATTCTACTTGAACACAAAGGGCACAATTACTTTAGAAATAACAAAAATATTCTGTAGTTAGATACACTGTGTAGTTAGATACACAGTATAATATTGCCTGCCTCTGCTCAAAAACATGGAAAAATCAAGAGATATTTCATACATAATTGGTTTACTTATTATTTGCATACACAAACTTGCTATTCAATATTATGCTAATTATAAGTCATAATAATGTAAAATTCTTCAATCATAATGTACTAGCTAGTAGCTAACCTGCTTAACTGCAGCCTCAGGATCTATTTCTTGTGTTTCTTGTGTTGCCATGCTCTATATGTTTATCTGAAAAATAAAATAACTATTAACAGTCACCATTTGAACCCTTTGGGGGGGGGGGGGGGGCTTTTGTCAATGCTTAATACATCTGCACAGCAAGATTCAGTCATATTTATTAGATGAAAAATACTTAACCAATAGACCCAGTGATTTTTAATTTTCTTTTAAATCATCACTAAAGCAGAGTTCTCTCCCTTGTTACCCTCAAACTGTGATACATTCTCTTTAAATGAATGTCCATGACTTTTAATAATATACACAATGCAAAAGATAGAGATCTGCCCTTAGATTATTTAGATGAGAAACCAAAGTCTAATGATGTTAAAGCTGCTGTTGATGTATCAATTAAATGAAAGCCCTCTCTCACCTAAATATGACTAATTGTGACCCTGCTGTTCTTGAGATTTTTTTAAAGATTCGTCCAATATACACTATGTTACTTTATAAATATATTATCCTCCCAATACTATGGTTCAAATAATCTCCAATCTACACTGTATAATTTCACATTAAGTTTTAATTTCTTCTGGCTCAATGGGTCACCATCTTGAGAAAAAAGAACTTCAAATGACATTATCAGTATATGCCCTGATTATCTCCCCTTGAGAGAGAGCATGGCTCTTAATTAAAGATTCTTGAATCCCCTATATAGTTAGTTTGCCTTCACTATGTTCACTCATTTTGTGGTGAGTTTGGTTGAAATTTGCCGAGAGGTTCCGGAAAAGGTTAAAAGTGTGAAAAGTTTTACCAATGACACTAAAGGGGTGAGAGACAGTCTTAGACTCAGAAGGATGCCAAACATTCTTTGATCAGAAAAAAACTAGCTTGTGTCTGGCTCTGGTGAGCTAAAACCCTTTAAAATCAAGAATTAAATTGGTAATGTATTTTAAGGTAGGCTTAATACTTTTACAACCGGGATATTGGTTTTCCCCTGAGTTCAAAAGCATAACCTAAAATGCACTCTCAATTTCTTGCCGTATCGAAACCTGAACAAAGCTTTAAGTATACAATTAAATGCAACCTTGAAATTCGAGGAACAAATTCGAAATGACATGATTTGGACATTTTTCCTGACCTGATTATAAAATAATGCGATCTATACAAAATAGTTTCTAAATATTGCCAAAAAATGATGAACACCATTGGTGAAGTCATTGTAAGTACATCCAAATGTACGGCATGGGTTTGTTTACCTTCCCACGTGGGTCCCTCTTGACAAGTTTCAACATATACTAATTCTATCGTAAGTGAAACAGAGAAAACCGAATTTCAATTACATGAATTTTGATTGGATAATTTATATTTACATTTTATGAAACTAGAAAAATATTGAAAATTACAATATCTGTATATATTGAATAAAAATATAACATGTGCTTTATATAGATACGTAATTTTAAATATAAATAAACTATTAATTTTGCTGTAAAATTGTTGATCAATATTTTACGACAAACATAAACTGGAAAATGCACCAATGAAAATCCACGTTTCATTCGAAACTCATAGAAATATTTTTGTTGACAATATGAATGTAGCGGGTGTTTGAATATAATTTTGTTAAAATTTAGCAAGGGAACTTTGCGTATCATGTGTGATAATTATGATGATGTAACAGATAAGTTTTTATGAACATGTAAATTCATTACAAAAAATCAAGCAAGATAGTGCATTTGCACTGTAGCAATATGCGTTCGAATTTCCTCAGTTCTGAAGTGCACTGTGAATAGAATATCTGTGATGGAGGGTATGCTTGAGTTGCTGTCAACGACAGACGCAGCTGTTAAGGCCTTAGACAGAACAAGCAGGTAAGTGCTTCTTGTGGAAATAGCAAGGAGAATTAACTCAAATTTAATGTCCATGTAGATTCTTACGTTTTTTTTCCATTTTTTTTTTTATTTTGAACTAGCACTGAAGATTCATTGTACTAATATGTCCAATAGACTGTTTCACGATAACTGCGGTACTACTCTTTTGCAGGGCAAATGTTATAGTTTGTTGAAAAAGGATGTAAAAGCAATTGTTTAATATACATCATTTTAGTATCTGTTAACAAAAATTTTGCCAAGCCTTATTAATTTGCCCTACAGAAGAATAGTGCTGCAGTCATCATGAAATGGTTAATTGTGAAACTGTGTTAGGATGAGTGCAGTTTTCTTTGTGTAAACCTCTCAAATGATGTATTCACTATTTCCTCTTTAATACATTCATCTACGTAATGACCTCACAATTTTTAGTAAACTTCTTTGGCCTGCTGCATATTGTAATGTCATTTTTCCACATGGATTTATGACTAATAAAAATTTAAAGTTAAATTTTTTTCAATTTCAGTGTATAATAGGACCCTCAGAATCAAGATTTCTAATTCTTGAATAATTCTGACAAAATCAGAATAACCCGAGATGTTTTTAACCATGAAAAAAAGATTTCACATGCAGGCTTGTTTATGAAGGATGAATGTATTAGTATTGTGGCAGAGAGATTCCACAGATTTTTTTTTGTTAAGTTGTTGCCATGCTCCAGCCATCATGTTGTTATGCACCTAAAGAGGATTGGGAGTTGTAGAACTTTTTCATGTGGGTCCATCAAAATTTCTTTGCTCTTATGTGTCTATAGAGCACATGGTACCAGCTAATATGTTTTTATGGTGCAAGCAAAGTTTTATATTTTTCACTGTATATACCAACAAAACCCTTTATATAAACTTTTATAAGTGCACAATACATTTGGAAGGTTTGACTTCAGAGGTTATGTATAGTATGTAGTTTGGACTACATACATGTATGTAATTTATGGGGATTGTGGGTACTGAGTTAAGTGCCGCTTGTTGAGCTTGTTATAAGCCCATAAATGTAGTTTATAATGTATCATTATATCATAATACATTGTAGATTCATATTTCTTCTTATACAACAGGGGTAGAAACTCCCTAAAATTACAACTCGCAAATAATTGCAAGTACCAAAAAAATGAACTCGCAATTTCAAAAGACAACTCTCAATCTTAAAATGAAAGCTTTTTTTGAAAAATGCCAATGCGGCCATCTATCCATCTTCTAAAAAATTTTCGACATGATCATCGGACATGGCACATGGTCGTTCATTTAAAAATGACGGATATAAACAGTAACTAAAGAGAGAAAGATTAAAACTGGATTGAAACGGATATTTTTTCACGGGTGAAATTTACATTGAAAAAATATCAACTCGAATTATTTTGCAAGTAACAAAATTTTTAACTCGCAATTTGGATATTCTAACTCGCATTTTGTGAGATGTATATAGTGAATTTCAAACCCTGTATAAGTATGTAAGCACCATTGATATACCTTATAATTGTGTACACAACTACACATAAGAGTTGTTTATGTATCGGTTATGAGTTGTAATTTCCAATCTTCTCATTGATAAAATTTAGTGTTGATGCACAATTGAAAACAAGGTAAAAAGAAGGGGTAATGAGTTGTTAATCATAGATTTGGAGATTAATTTTGTCTATCAGAATATATTTTTTTCATTTAAATAACATTGATTCTCATAAAAAGATAGGATAAAAATCATGAAAATATTTTAATATTAGTATGTTAGTTATGAGCCCCCTCTTTCAAATTAAGCAGAAAAAGATGGAATGTATTTTTATATGCCCATTTTTGACATGATATATTGTCAAGATGTGTTGCACCACTCTTTTTTACCCCCCCCCCCCCCCAAAATGTGCAAATAGCAGTGGAATTGTTAAAAGTCAATTTTTTCCCACTTGAATATCTTCAGTATGCAGGAATCTGATAATCAGAAATGGAACATATTTAAAATTTAGAATTTATCTCCCACCAGAAAAATGAAATGTTTAACTACATTTTTATTTATAAATGATTTCCCCTAAGACTAAAATCTGCTTGCATAATATTATATTCCAGATCTCAGTCATCAATAAGCAGCAGGTCATCCTCAGGATCAAAGAAGAAAAGTATATCAGAAGTACCGGACAGTGGAATCGGTCAAACTGAAGACAGATCTCAGAAAACAAAGGCATCTCACAGTAGAGATACTGATGAGCTTGATGTATCGCAGCACAGCTCTGATGTTAGTACAACAGCTAGTGATGTATTGATCAGGTCCACTACAGCAGCTCCGGGAGAGAAAAGTATTTTAGATGATGTAACTTTTCAGAGTGTCGATAATACAAGTAACATCTCAAAGTGTTCAAAATATTCTTTTGGAAAAGAAAATTTTAACAGTTCTGGTCCTGTTAAAGTGAAGGTGTCTTCTAAACTGCTGAGAGAAATTAAGTCTCCATATGAAAGCCCAAGGGAGGAAGCGAACACAGGAGAGGAATCTCCTAAAGTTCAGAATGTACAACCAGAGATTAATCCAAGTAAATCAAGGGAACAGAGTACAAGTATAGGAATGGGTAAAATCTCAACAGAATCTAAGGCAAGTTCTAGAGGAGTAGATACCTCTAGAACACACAGTCAAGCCTCAGATGTTCTAAAACCATCTAGTCGACCAAACTCTGCAACTTCAAAGTCCTCTACTGTTAGCCAGCCTGGATCTATAGTTAGAGGGCCTACTTCAAAGTCACTTAAAGATTCAAAGACAGTTAGTCAGACTTCTGTACCAAAACCTGTAAGTAACAACCCCAAGGATATCATAACTCTACAATGTACCCCACAGAGAAAACAGACCAGTCAACCGAAGAAAGCAAATACACCAGAAAAACAAAGGAAAACTGAAGGATTCCCTCAACCTGTTTTTGTAGAGCGGCATACACCTGAAAAAGTGTACAGAGACAAGAAAATTCTCTGTAATGATGATGATAAAGGCAGCTATATTGAAGAGTTCTGTAAAGAACAAATAGAAAGACAAGATTTGGTGCCAGAAAAATTAGGTATCACTCTGAGAAAAGAGAACAAAATTAAACTTGTGTATCAGATCATGAAAAATATTAAAACAAATAGTTTTTTCATCTTTAAACAAGATGTGATTATGAAACACAGATGCCCCCATATAGCAACTTATAGCAAAGGTTAAACTTTCTCAAATGCAAATCAAATATGTTGGTACCTAAAGTAAGGTCTTGTCTCGAGGAATAAATCTGTGAAATATAAAAGCCCTAGCAGCAACCATTGAATAGATATGGAAGAGGTTAAAGTTTTTTTCAAAAGTATGTCCAACATCAAGGTCAAATGGTCAAAATTAATGGTGCCCAAGGAAAGGCCTTCTCCCAAGAAATACGCAGATGAAATATGAATGCTGAAGCACCAATCCTTCAAAAGTTATGACCAAGGTTAAAGTTTTCCAAAAGTAGGTCAAACTCCAAGGTCAAGGTCAAAGGGTCAAAGTTGTTGGTATCCAAAGAAAGGTCTTGTCACAAGGATTACATATGTGAAGAATGAAAGCCCTAGCACCAACCATTCAGAAGTTATGGCCAAGGTTAAAGTTTTCCAAAAGTAGGTCAAACTCCAAGGTCAAAGTCAATGGGTCAAAGTTGGTGGTATCCAAAGAAAGGTCTTGTCACAAGGATTACACTTGCGAAGTATGAAAGCCCTAGCTTCAACCATTCAGAAGTTATGGCCAAGGTTAAAGTTTTCCAAAAGTAGGTCAAACTCCAAGGTCAAAGTCAATGGGTCAAAGTTGGTGGTATCCAAAGAAAGGTCTTGTCACAAGGATTACACTTGCGAAGTATGAAAGCCCTAGCTTCAACCATTCAGAAGTTATGGCCAAGGTTAAAGTTTTCCAAAAGTAGGTCAAACTCCAAGGTCAAAGTCAATGGGTCAAAGTTGGTGGTTTCCAAAGAAAGGTCTTGTCACAAGGATTACACTTGCGAAGTATGAAAGCCCTAGCACCAACCATTCAAAAGTTATGGCCAAGGTTAAAGTTTTCCAAAAGTAGGTCATACTCCTAGGTCAAGGTTAAAAGGTCAAAGTTGTTGGTATCCAAAGGAAGGTCTTGTCACAAAGATTACACATATGAAGTATGAAAGCCCTAGCACCAGTTGTTCAAAAGTTATGACCAAGGTTAAAGTTTGGTAAAATTTTGCAAAACTGGGTCAAACTCCAAGGTCAAGGTCAAAAGGGAAATTTGGTGGTACCCAAAGAAAAGGTCTTGTCATAAGGAATACACCTGTGAAATATGAAAGTTTTTGCAGATAAACAGACAGACAGATGGACGGACAGGGCAAAAACTACATACCCCCGAATCTTCGATACGGGGGCATAAAAATAAAACTATATCTAAAGTTACTTGCCCTTTTTTCAGTTTCTTTTTTTTTTTTATCTCTCATCATTGTTTATTCTGAGGTAAAAACAATTTATTTTTTTTCATATTATGTTCCCTAATAGTAACTGAGTCAGTAGAAACCAGCATTAACAGTGCTACGAGTAGTCAACCAGAGATTGTCACTGTACCAGAGAGGATAGTCACCATATCAACCAGGAGCTCTGTCTCCTCAGACCACTCACTTAGCGACTCGGGTCAGATACTCACCGTCCAGGAGAGACTGGTCACAATCTCAGCAGCTCAGCCAATGGAGGATGAGGATTCTACTGTCAGTCACACTAAAGAAGAGGAGGAGGAGGAAAAAATCCCTCCAAGGCTGCCAGATAAATTCCATCAATATACCAAGGTAAGTCCTCGGGGAGGAAGGGAATGCCTCATTTATCTACTGCATCTGCTCATGAAACTGGTTTATTTTTATCCTTTGGGGTTTTTGATCAGTTTAGTAGCTTTTTTAGCTCACCTGAGCCAAAGGCTCAAGTGAGCTTTTCTGATCAAAATTTGTCCGTTGTCTGTTGTCGGTGGCGGCGTCGGCGGCGGCGTTGTTGTCGTAAACTTTTCACATTTTCATCTTCTTCTCCAGAACTACTGGGCCAATTTCAATCAAACTTGGCACAAAATATCCTTGGGTGAAGGGGTTTCAAGTTTGTTCAAATGAAGGGCCACACCCTCCTCCAAGGGGAGATAATTACGAAATAGCAAAAATTAATGGCATTATTGGAAAATCTTCTTCTCAAGAACCAGTGGGCCAGGAAAGATGAAACTCATGTGGAATTATTGTCAGGTAGTGTAGATTCAAGTTTGTTCAAATCATGACCCCCAGGGATAGGGTGGGGCCAAAATGGATGATCAATGTTTAACATAGGTGTACATAGGAAAAATCTTCAAAAATCATCTTCTCAAGAACAGCAAAGCTATGATTGGTCATATTTATATGGAAGCATCCTCAGGTGGTGTAGATTCAAGTTTGTTCAAATCATGACCCCTGGGGGTATGGTGGGACCACATTGGACGATCAAAGTTTTACATAGGAATATATAGGAAAAATCTTCAAAAATCTTCTTCTCAAGAACAGCAAAGCTATGATTGGTCATATTTATATGGAAGCATCCTCAGGTGGTGTAGATTCAATTTGTTCAAATCATGACCCCCAGGGGTAGGGTGGGGCCAAAATGGACGATCAATGTTTAACATAGGTGTACATAGGAAAAATCTTCAAAAATCATCTTCTCAAGAACAGCAAAGCTATGATTGGTCATATTTATATGGAAGCATCCTCAGGTGGTGTAGATTCAAGTTTGTACAAATCATGACCCCTGGGGGTAGGGTGGGACCACATTGGATGATCAAAGTTTTACATAGGAATATATAGGAAAAATCTTCAAAAATCTTCTTCTCAAGAACAGCAAAGCTATGATTGGTCATATTTATATGGAAGCATCCTCAGATGGTGTAGATTCAATTTGTTCAAATCATGACCCCCAGGGGTAGGGTGGGGCCAAAATGGACGATCAATGTTTAACATAGGTGTACATAGGAAAAATCTTCAAAAATCATCTTCTCAAGAACAGCAAAGCTATGATTGGTCATATTTATTTGGAAGCATCCTCAGGTGGTGTAGATTCAAGTTTGTTCAAATCATGACCCCTGGGGGTATGGTGGGACCACATTGGACGATCAAAGTTTTACATAGGAATATATAGGAAAAATCTTCAAAAATCTTCTTCTCAAGAACAGCAAAGCTATGATTGGTCATATTTATATGGAAGCATCCTCAGGTGGTGTAGATTCAATTTGTTCAAATCATGACCCCCAGGGGTAGGGTGGGGCCAAAATGGACGATCAATGTTTAACATAGGTGTACATAGGAAAAATCTTCAAAAATCATCTTCTCAAGAACAGCAAAGCTATGATTGGTCATATTTATATGGAAGCATCCTCAGGTGGTGTAGATTCAAGTTTGTTCAAATCATGACCCCTGGGGGTATGGTGGGACCACATTGGACGATCAAAGTTTTACATAGGAATATATAGGAAAAATCTTCAAAAATCTTCTTCTCAAGAACAGCAAAGCTATGATTGGTCATATTTATATGGAAGCATCCTCAGGTGGTGTAGATTCAATTTGTTCAAATCATGACCCCCAGGGGTAGGGTGGGGCCAAAATGGACGATCAATGTTTAACATAGGTGTACATAGGAAAAATCTTCAAAAATCATCTTCTCAAGAACAGCAAAGCTATGATTGGTCATATTTATATGGAAGCATCCTCAGGTGGTGTAGATTCAAGTTTGTACAAATCATGACCCCTGGGGGTAGGGTGGGACCACATTGGATGATCAAAGTTTTACATAGGAATATATAGGAAAAATCTTCAAAAATCTTCTTCTCAAGAACAGCAAAGCTATGATTGGTCATATTTATATGGAAGCATCCTCAGATGGTGTAGATTCAATTTGTTCAAATCATGACCCCCAGGGGTAGGGTGGGGCCAAAATGGACGATCAATGTTTAACATAGGTGTACATAGGAAAAATCTTCAAAAATCATCTTCTCAAGAACAGCAAAGCTATGATTGGTCATATTTTTTTGGAAGCATCTATATTTTTATGGAAGCATCCTCAGATAGTGTAGATTCAAGTTTGTTCAAATCATGACCCCCCCCCCCCCCCCATTCCCTTTTTAGGGGTAGGTTGGGACCACTTATGCATTTAAGCTTTTCAATACTAAACTGATTTTTCCTTTTTTCCTAGCCACAGTGCTCAGGTGAGCGATGTGGCCCTTGGGCCTCTTGTTTATCATTTATTATCTTAAACCAATCTTTCACCTGAAATGTTTTAACAATAAGATTATCCATAGTTTGGTAATTCCTCAGTAAGTCTAGTTATGCAATCACAGCACATTTGTAGAACTATACATTATTAAAATCATGAGTTTTAACAACAGAAATGGAGGTTTATGTGTTCATACAAAATATTCTTTCCATCAATGAAATATCTTACAGCACCAGAGTGGTGGGTTGAAGCAGGGATCAGAAAGCAGTGGGGTATCTGTTATGGATCATCCATCTGATTCAGATGACATCCATGTTGAAAAGTTCCGCTTGTCAGAGAAACAACAATTGATGAAAGAGAATTTTACTAAGAGGTAACATCTCCAAAAGATAATGAAAGAAAAACTTAAGATAAAGCACAAACATTACGTAGTACTGTGTAAGTTAAAAAATATCAAGGACTCAAAAGAGCAAGAAGAAAAATGCAGCATTCAAATTCCTGTCCATGTGAATTTTAATTGTTGATCAACTGTTTTTAAGATTGCAAGGGGGTCCTAAAAAGAGGGTTGTTCAGCCTAGACTAATTGGTCCAGCTGCCAAGTCAACAAAGAAGGAAACCAAGGAGCAGAGTATCCAGAACACAGAGGCCATTACTGCAGCAGTGGCTGCTAGTGCCGCAATAGCTGCCACACAACCATTTCTTAAGGTATAACTGTAGGACTTTGGATAATTTCAACTGATAAAAAGAAAGATCTTATTTGACAATTTTTTTTGTGTTTAATTCAAATTATAGGTTATTGACTGAATATTGGGAAATATGCCCGCCTGAGGTCTTTGCGTAGTAAAGCAGACCAAGCTTTCGAGGTCTGCCACTACACAAAGACCAAGGGTGGATATATTTCCTGATGTTCATCTACTACAAAAAATGTACATGTATGTGATGTTTGTCTCTTGCGATTATTGGCACTTCATGTACAATTTTATGATCAATGATGAATTCAGTTATACATTTTCTTTGCTGTCAGAAGTTTTGCAAATGAACCATGTTTCATACTAGGCACAACAAGAATTAGAGAACAAGATGACCAACATTTTGAACCAGATTGGCAGTCTCCAGTCTGATGTGGCCCCTCCCTTGAAGGGGGAATCAGAATCTGAAAGGGTGGCCCAATTAGAGAAACAACTGGCCACAGTTACAGAGCAGAGAATACAACATCTAGAGAAGTTACAAGAACAACAGGTTGCCATGCAGGTATTGTTTGTTCAAGTCTACAGTGTTACATGACTCCTATCTTTTGGAGCAATTGTCAGTAGTCATTATTGTAAGAAGAACCTGTTTAGTAATACATGTATATTGATATCTATGTGGACAGAACTAACTTTTACTTCCAACTGCAAAGGCATACAGGCATCCCTATTTGAACTATTGAGTAGAGATGTATGCTTTGATGTTAACTTAGTGATAACAGATTCAACTCATAATTAATTGAAAACTGATAACAATACAAGATCCCTTATAAATCTGTTTTATGTTAAACATTATGCTGGGAATATTTGGTTCTTTTATTTTCACTCATTTTTTAGTTTATACTTTTTTGGTAAATTCAAAGAAAAAAAAAAGTTTCATAAAAGCTTTGGATAAATCTAAATACTAGGTGAATTATTCTGTAAATTATCTATAACAAATGCAACAATTAAGGGATGAATATTCCTCAGTTTACAGTAATTTTAAGATACTTAGAAATTAGCCTCTGTATAATAAAAAGGAGTCACAGTCCTTTTGTTTAATCTGGGTATTACACATTCCTGTGATATGGTTAGGATTCTACACATGTAATTGTATAACATTTGGCTGCATATTCATTATAGCACCTTTGGCAAAAAGCAGGTTCTCCTAAATCAAGTGCATCGCAAAATGTCTTACTTATAGAAGATAAGTTCGCCCGTTATGCAAATTATCCCACATTTCCAACTATCGTTGATGCCCTGGCATATTCTACTAACTAGACAGTGATTCCTTATATTTCCATTTCATTGTGAAATAAAATTGTAAATTTAGATTTTGAAAATGTAGATTTAAATTACACGAGGCCTCACATGTCAATTTCAATAGTCCCTGCCCACTGACGTCAAACACAAAGACAGCCGCACGAGATTTACATGCATATTAGGCCTCCTTAGCATCAGACACAAAGACAGACACACGAGATTTACATGCATATTACGCCACCTTAGCTCCTGACCTATTGCTTGGTGAAATATACATTCCGGTAGAATGATCAAGAAATCAACTCAACTAACTTTGAAAGGGTTATCACAGAGGAAAAAAAATGGAAATGGAAATATATATGTATCAAGTAATGTAAATTTGTAATTGATTGGAAAGTACATGTATCAATATATTCCATGATTTATGAAACACAGATACACTGTACAGATAAATTCGCCAATGACTATAACAAATAGAACAAAATTTGGGGCATAACTCTATAACATTTTTGTTTAGAAATATTTTGTGACTGCAAGATTGAAATTTATCACATCCAGAAATGCTCTAAATCAAGTTTACCCTAACACATTTAAAAATTATACATGGTAATAATACATTTACAGTATTTGGAAGATTGGTTAACAAAGTGCATATACTTTTATCAATTTTCATCAGTTACTGTACATGTATATTAAAAGCTAAGATTTATAATACAGCTATCATATTCAGTTATTCCTAACTTTTACTGTTACAGGCAAAATTGTTATCCCTATCAAGAACACCACAAAATCGAACCGAAGTCACCAGATCCAAATCACCAACCATAAGATCTCCTTCATGGAGTCCGCCTGTACAGAGGAAGAAAGAATTCCCACCAAAACCAATCATAAAGACAACGGGTCATGGGGATTATAATCAGGAGCAGTTCCGGGATCACAGATCACCAGAAACCCCTAAACCCAGGACCAATCCTCCCAAACCACTGTCTTTTGAATTTCGAAACAAGAAACAGCCATCAAGTAAAGTATTTCTATCTATGATGGTAATATATGTACATATACTAAAATTACACTGTTCAGCAGTTTTGAATTAAGATCAGTCAAAGTGAATTTAACCCCTAAGTATGTTTCGATACTTGACAGTCTCTAAACGGCTTAAGTGCCATCCTTTTGATCTGGATGGAAATAAATGGTTATATTTTTTCTGTTTCTATTTATTACCATATATACTCACTAATACTGTCGATTCCTTATTTTTCGCGAGTACTTATTATCACGAAATGGCTTTTGAGCGTCAAATCGTGAGAACAATAATTCGCGAGTAAAGACGGTTCATCAAGAGATTTTACATTGATTTCAGCACCATAAAAATAAAAGCGAGTAATTTTATTTTGTGAGTGGTGCTTCTCGCGAAATTACACGATAATTAATTCCTCACGTATATTTAGGAATCTACAGTACATGAGCATCAGATTTTTTGGGAATATGACTTTTGCCAAAATTCTATGTCTGACTTATAGGCAAGTCCTAGAAATATTGGTATTTTTTTAGACGCTGAAATGTAGGGTCAAAGGGTATAATTTTAACATCTTTGGAAATGTGTTTAATTGTAAGTGCAATCTGTATCAAGGATCAATTAGGAGTCAAATTCTGAACTAAAGTATATACATGTATTTGTATCTGGTATTATGCCAGTACTTCATTGCAAAGTATGCCAATAATCTGGATGTTCATTTCTGAAAGAACATCAATTTCGGGCAAAGCTTTATAAACTATAAGTTGCTAAAAATTATTGGCTATGCTGCATGTTTGCAGGGGATTCCAAAGAACAAAATTATACTAATTATCAGTGTTTTTTCTGTTTTTCGTAACCTTTATTTTGTATATTAGTCAACAGATTTGCAGCTTATGCTGTGTGTGCAAGCTCATCAAGTTAAATGTTTAATTAGCACTTAAATGTCAAATGACATTTTTTTTCAAAACAGATTAACAATTACCCGGTACAGAAATTGTAATTTGTTAATTGTGCATATTTAATATATTTTTCTGTTGATATGAAATAAAAGAAGGTTAAGCAAATAAAACAAATATTTGTCTGATTTTACAGACAAAATGGTTGGCAGTTTACTTGTGGAGTTATGAATATTTCAATTTGGAAAATTGTAATTTGTTAATTGTGCATATTTAATGTATTTTTCTGTTGATATGAAATAAAAGAAGGTTAAACAAATAAAACAAATATTTGTCTGATTTTACAGACAAAATGGTTGGCAGTTTACTTGTGGAGTTATGAATATTTCAATTTGGAAAGTGTTTATGCAATTAAACTCAGAATTTCAATATCTGAAATAAGATATTTTGAAGATGTAAACATGTTTACTGATAAAAATGAAAACCTTCTATTTACTCAATGATGATTGGTGCCACTAATTATTTATATTTTGAACTAAATTATTCTGTATTTAGTTGGATTGCTATTTTGATTATCTATCCATGTAGTTATGGATCTGCATAGATAGTTCATATTTTCAATTATTATTTTTTTTTTAATGATCTGCATGTAGAGTTTTACCATTTCAATCTAGGCTTGGTTATTTTCAAATACTCTGGGACTCTAATCAGATATTGTCTATGGGGGTCCAAATTAGCAAGAAGTTACCATTTCCATTGATTGAATGCCACACACCAAACATTGGGATTTATTGTACAGTAGTATTATTTAACTGTAGTACATCTAGTAATTTTTTATGTATTATAGAAATCAAACCTCATGTATCATCATAATTAATGCTAGTCAGACTTGTTTACAAAACTCATTATTAACTTGAAATGTAAAAGATGAAAGTTCAATGTCCTTTTTTTGTAGCTCGAGGGATCCTAGAGGAAATACTGGCATCTGATGCATCCCCCCGCCGTGACGTTCCCGAGCCCACCAAGTACGAAGACAAAGACAAGTAAGTATTGAAGTTCAAAATGAAAGATGTCAAAATGAATATGGAGAAAGCCTGAATGGAGTAGAAAAACAATAAAATTTAAGAGAAATAAACCTAAGTTAAGGAGAGATAGGAGTTTTCAGGATATGAAAGCATGTAGAATGCACAACTCAAGTAAAAATGCAAGATACAGGTGTCAATCACACACTCCAACAAAACCAATGACAATCTGTGGATTGCAAGGATTAGAGAACAAATATTTCTCCTGATTTCTACATGCCCTGAAATCATATTTTAAACTTTTATTTGAAATTTTTGATCTTTGAATTTGTGAAAAACACTCTGTAATATTACTTTTTCCCAGTCATAATGGGGTTAGGAATGTAACGTTACAACATCATCTTTTTTGACCTGGTTTTCCTTAGGAAAAATCTGGTTATTGAAATAGTGAAAATGGTGGGCAGGCGGCTGCCGAAAGGGTACATCATTTGTCCCGATTTTTCCCTGTGATGCAATTTTATGAAATTACTGCCCTTGAATTTTTAAAAAGAATAAAGGACATAAGAAAAAGAAAAGACCCAAAAAGGTTTTCAGTCTTATATGGCGTAAGTATCAGTTAAAAACCTGTCATGATTAAAGTTTTAGCTGTGCGTACAAATGAGGTCAGACCTGTTTACTCTTACGATATCGCTGTATTTTGTACGGATTTTGAGTCCAAAATAGATCTCATGTTTTGTTATTATGAAAATATGGAAATCTGTTCGTTTGGATTTTAGCAGTTAGTTTTTGTTATGATCTGTCTCAGTTTGACGCTTTTTAATCGCTAAAAAAAGGGAAAGATTTCAAAGTTTTCGGGTTGCCAAAATACAGTGGTTTAAAAAATGACAGAAATAATAATCACAAATGTAGTAGTTCTCTTGTGATATATGTAAAATCGATGGAAAGTGAAATCTTACTGACAAATGCCAAATCTCACTGACAAATCTAATTAAAAAAAAATTGAGAGAAAACTATATGGGTAAACAGGTCTGCTGAGGTGCATACAAAGGATTAAATGCTTACCACTGATTGCAAGTACATGAACCTACTACTGGATATTTAACTAGTCAAATAAAAATACAAGTATCCTTATCAAATGGATGAAAAATTCAGAGGATTTCCAGGTAGTATAGATTCAAGTTTATACAAAACATAGCCCCCAGAGGCAGGGTTGGGCAGCAATAAGAAAACATGGTTTATCTTGGAATTTCTCAAGAGCTATAAGGATCTTGACATCAGACCTCAGTATTTTGTAAATTAGAATTATTGAAATGATTGACAAAGTTATTGGCAACCATTAGTGTGTCATTTATCTACACATGTAGGTAACTATTTAAATGATTGATTCCACAGTCAGTGTATTACAATCAACTCTAGTAGACACTTAGTATATTTTGTACATGTAGATTGATAGAGTGCTTACAAAGAGTTTACTTGAGTTGTAAAACACATGTATGAGATATGCTTGTTTATTTCCTAGTTGAATACTAAATTATCTCCTCTTTGAACAGGACAAAGGCATTAAAATATTGTAAATGAATTCTTTTACAGACATGGTAAATTCAAGGGTAGAGGCTAAATATTTCCCAGAAATAATCTCAATAGAACAATCAAAGAGTAAAATTTTCTATAAATTGTATCCTATGTTTTAGGGAATACAGGAGAAATGATTCTGAAAACAAAGCATAATTTTAGGATGAAGAATCAAAACCTCTAGTTTTTTAAGTAGGGATGTCAATTTTGTCAACAATTCTTAAATGAATATTCAATGAAAATATTCATTGACAAATATATTTTAATATTCGATAAAATATTTATTTTCAATAAATGCATCATCCTACCCTCATGACAGGTTTTGCATCGGTATTTGGAAGTAAATTGGATGTAGACATTTGTAAGTGTGCAGTAAAGAATTCTTTTGATATTTGTCATTGTTTGCAATAATACAGTTGAACTTCGGGATCTTGAATACCATGGATATGTCGAAGTGATATAAAAAGTCCCATGCATTTTATCTTTAAGTATCTTTCTCCCAATATCTCGAACCCTTGGATATCTCGAATTTTTTCATGGTCCTATCAAGTTCAAGATAACGAGGTTTGACTGTATGCTGATTTGAGTGTATATAACCAAAAATATAATTACAAACAATGAAATCTTGAAGCCTTATACAAAGGGCAAGTTTGTTGTATACTGTTCAAATTTAAATACATATTTAATTACAATTATCTGCCTAATAAGAGATATACAGTGTATAATCTTTGATAATATGTTTTAAAAATCCATAGACAACTTCTTAATTAACAATTTCCCTTATTTTCTGATACATCTGAAATGATTTAAAACTTAAGAACATGTCACATGCTAAGGAAATCACTTTAAGAGGGAAATTAAACTATAACCTTATTCACAGTTTTATCTTAGACATAGGCATTTGAAAATGTGAATATTTCAGTGATCAGTGAAATTTAAGGCAAGCAATATTATCTAGAAATGTGGAAATGAGAGTATATTGAAATCCAACTGGTGTCAAAAGACTGTTGTTACTATGCTTAACACTTTAAAAATCAATTAAAATCTACAGCAGAAAAGCAACGCTACTGTGTGTAAAGCTAATATATAGACATCTTCCTTTAATGTAGACCTAAGATGCCCGAAACAGCCTCCCTGGGGAACAGGTGAGGCCATGATAAAGGATCAAAGTTTACACTGCTATAGATATTAAATTTTTAGATTTTTGTTTTAAAAAAATCAAGTAGTTATGAGTGTGGATGAGAGATAGATAATATGTTTAATAAAAGTAGGAATTTGAGAAGTAGAAAGATCATTTGCTTCTTCGATAAAAAGCAGTTGTTAATAAAAGGAAATAGGCTCCATAGTGTATAGACTCTTTTTTTTTTGAGGGAATAAAAATCTGACTAATTGACATAATTACAAATCACCTCAACTGGCATCTAGATAAGAATATTAATATAATCATTTATTACATTTTCAACAGTGAAATACTGTGATTTATTTATTGAATAAAAGTGATATTCTCTCACAGTGTGAAAGGATATCAAAGTAAGTAAAAAATAATTTCTGGCCTGTCAAAAGATATAGATAGTAACTAAACATCTTGATAGAGCTAAAACTGCAATTTTCTTCCCAAATATATTGCTAAAATCCATGCTATGTAATGTTTTCAATCTCACAACTGCTAAGCTATGACGTCTCAACTGCTCAACTATCACGTCAAACCTAGCTATGACACTGTGTTAAGGGAAGACAGAGGCAAAGGGAAAATCAAAGAAAATGTAATAAACAGAAAATTCAATGTTTTGTAGATGAATATGGAATTTATTTCACTCGTGGGACAGGATTTTTTGATATTTTCACTCGTGCTTCGCACTCGTGAAAATATCAAAAAATCCTGTCCCACTCGTGAAATAAATTCCATATTCATCTACAAAACATTGAATATCCTCTATTTAGATCACTAGAGGCGTAATTGTTAGAATCCTAAAATGTATGTCATCTATAGCATGCCATACATCACTCAATCACCCCCAGACAGCGGGTAACTGTCAGTACACACCCACCTGAAGGCTGTAAATCTGCTGCTATAATCTTGTCGCAGGTCTCATGTGTTTTAGAGTTGACTGTGACAGGCATCACGTAGGCTGTTAAATAATTCCTGTGGACTGGTGTATGTTTCCAAGTCCTAGCGTGTTAATTTCTGCATAACTAGAAGATTCAGATCATGGAAAGAGGAGCGGTACATTTGTATGTGTCATAGAAGGCTAAGGGTAGTAAAAATCTGGCATCTCGTTAGTAAAGGACAATATTGGGGTGCTTTGCTTTATTGCTTCTATCAAGCTTTACAATCATTTAATGTAAAAAAGTTTTCAAAATGCTCTCAGTTGGTAGTTTTAAAAAACACAAATTATATATCAGATTAATAAGTAAATGAAAATCCATATTGAAAGTACAGTTGAGCTTTGGTACTTCGAACACTGATATCTCATATACCATGTGTATGTTGAAGTGATTTGGAAGTCCAAATCACATATTCTTAAAGTATTTTACACTCGATATTTCGAATCCTCGGATATCTCGAAGTTTTTTCTTGGTCCCTTCGAGTTAAAGATAATGAGGTTTGACTGTATGTACATGTATTGCTGTAAACTTACTTAATTTAGATGAAATTCTATTTTAGAGCCTTTCTTGCTGATTCTTGTCTGCTAATTCAAGTACACACTAATATAAATATAGGATTAAAACAATTACATATTGATGTTCTCCTCCAAATTATAATTTATGATTATGCTAATCAGTTGATGATTAAGACTGTACTAAATTTTGAGTGCATTAAATTATATACATTTACAATATATTTATCTTCTATACAGACTGCCATAAAATTCTTGTTACTAACACTCAAAAATAAAGGCAAGCTTATAAAAATTTAAATTAATAATTTATTACAAGTTTATTTTTTTAAAAAATTACATAGGAAGCTCATGTGGATAAAAAATTTCAAAAAAAGAGGCCCATGAGCCACAATCTCACCTAGCTGAGTGACATTAGCCCTTCTGTTCTAGCTTGGAGAAAAGATTAATAAATTTTTTCCCTTCTACTTTTGTATAAAAATGTTGACCCTATATAGTACCTTCATTCTACCCCCCCCCCCTACCCTCCCTTGGCAATGTTTTGAACCAACTTTTAATTATGTCCTTTTACTTGAGGAAAAATCTTTCAATTGATCAAAGTGTTTTGTATATATTCCACTGCAAAATATTATAACCTTTTGAGGGGAGGAGGCTGGAGGGAGAAAGGGGTTTTTGAAATTTCTTGATCTGCACTTCCTGAGGATGCATGTAAATTTAAATATGAATCATCATAATCATGGCTCTGCTATTCTTCACAATTTTTAAATATTTTTTCCCCTATGCATTCCAATATAAAATGTGACCCCACCCTATGCCGAGGGACCATGTTTTGAATAAACCTGGATCTGTACTACCTAAGGATGCTTGCATATATCACTAATCATGGCCTTGTTGTTCTTGAGAAGAATAGTTTTATTTAAAAATCTTTTCCAATATTTTCCCTGGTAAAAGTTTGATTTAATATTCTGGCCACACTCCACCCCTTGGGCCATCATTTTAAAAAAAATTATGTAATTATATTCCAGTGTAAAACTTTGGTCCCTAAAGTGGTCCCTGGCCTTATCCTGGGGTAAGAAAAAAAATAGTTCAGCTGATGAAGAACAGAGTCAAGATGACTCAAGTTGCATTGTGCCCCATGGACTGCCTGTTTCCTACATATTCCCTTGTAAAACTCTCTTCTTGTGGCCCACCCTATCCACAGGGGCCATTATTTGAACAAACTTGAATCTACACACTAAGTCAAGCAGCTTTCATTTAATTTAAATCTTTTCTGGCCAATAGCCATGTCACAAAATTTTCACTTATTTCATTTTTCTCCCCTTGAAAGAGGGCTCTTAATTCAAACAAACTTGAATCCCCTTTACCCAAGAATAAATTCTGGCAAGTTTGGTTAAAATTGGCTCAGTGGTTCTGGAGAAGAAGCTTGAAATGACAAAAGTTTACAGACAACAGGATAGAAGACACAAACATTTGACACTAGTACTCTTTGATCAGAAAAGTTCACTTGAGCCTTTGGCTCAGGTGGGCTAAAAAAGAAGATTAATTATACAGTATAACAAAGATCCTGATTAACTAAATAAGTACCCACCAGCAATTAAACTGTTTGTGTATAAAAGAGGGGATGTTCTTTGGAGGAATCTCTCTCTTGAAGAACATAAGTAAAAACTTTATGTATATATTCATAAATATGATAAAGAAATCAATATGATGTCTGACTGTTTTCCAACCATACCAGGATATTTTCGACCAGATGAATCCAACATAGCCCATTTTCAATCCCCAAGTCTTTTATCTGTTTTTGCACAAATTTTTCACACATTTTACAAATTTTGTTCACTAAAGATTAGGGAAAAAATAAAATGAATAAAAAGAAATCCCAGAATGCAGTGTTAATCTGAAAAATATCATACATACATGTATTTGTTTCTAACACTGTGAATTGAAGACAGTCATGTACAAAGTAAAGAAAAATTGTTTTATATAAATCACCTCCATTTAAAACTTTTATTTACTGAACTACAACATATACTTGTAACAGCTCTTACAAGGTAATTGAATTTTTGCTTAATGCATTTATGGTTTAACATTATTAGTTTATGTCAGAGACTATGGGAAAGCCCAGTGTCTTAATAAACTTTGCTGGGCCATAAGATTCTATCATTCTTTTCTGACCAAATTTTGTCTGCCATCTGTCTGGCATCTAATATAAATCTGTCATCTGTTAACTTTTTTCATTCTGACTTCTCAGAACCAATCTACCAACGTCAATCCAAATTGTCCAAAAGCATCATATAGATATGATAGATTTAAATTTGTTCACATTAAGGACAGATGTTACAAACTTTTTTCCAAATTCATGGAAATAACATTTAAAGTCATGTTTTTATAAGTAAAACAAATAAGTTGAACCACTTATATTTTTATTTTTTGTTCAAAGTTTCACAATAATGTACTAGAAGATGATATGATAATGGTAACTGTATATCATAAAGTTTTAAAGTACAGTGCCATGAGCTCATAAACATGAGATAATGCTAA